ACCGTTTTGTCATTTGAGGGGATTTTTTCAAAAAAACTCTTTGAGAACTTTTATTCATAAAAAACTCCATTTTTGGAGGTTTTTTCAAATCAGTCCAGCTCACTTAAATCTTAATAATTTTCCGAAATATTTTGGTGGACGTCTTAAAATATAATAGATTTTATAATTCCAATGGAAAAATAGTACCGATTTTTTTTTGTATGGGGAGTGATGCAGTCTAATGTAAATATGTTTGCGTATGTACATATGTTTGTGTACATATATACACATATGCACATATGTAGTACAAAAGAAAACAAATCTAATAAGCTGCTCGTTGATATAAATGCGAACTGTACTGATTGTCAAAAATTATGTGTTTGTTGTACATTTGTTCATGTTTGTCATTGTGCGTGTAATTTTCTAGAGAAGTTTTGTGCTCTCGCTATCTCCTTGTATGAACTCGTCCTTCGTTGGTATACTCTGATGAACATATGTGAACGGTGTTGCCAGAACTTTTTGGATGAACCGGCTAAATTGGCAAATTAAACCGGCTAAAAACGACTAAAATGTTTCAACTAAATTTCACATGTTTTATTTAAATAAATCACGAGTAAAAAGACTATTTCTTGGAGAGAAATTACAAATTCGAGCCGGAAAAAAATTTTGCCAGCAAAAATTTGCAATTAGGAAAAAGATATGATTGTGGCCAGAGTTGGGCAAAATTTATTCGAATGACGAATAACAAATGAATAAATTGTTTTTCTTGTTATTCGTAAATAATAAATAATTTTGGTTATTCAAAAAAAAATTATTCGAATGACGGATACATTATGTTATTCGTTATTCGAATAATTATTATCTTCATTAATTATTCGAATAACGAATAAAATAATAATAAAACAAGTAATTTATGTATATAGATATGTACATATATTTATGTATAAAATTATAACCGTTCTCGTTGTTGCGATTTAACTCAAACCCCTGGATAGATTTAAGTCAAATTTTCGGAGGTTATTCCATGCGCATAAAGTCCTATTAATAAAGGCTACTAGAAAACTCCTTTGTGGCGATCCCATATGTCTGGACTCCTTTGTTTTTTATGTTTATATTATACGAATTTACGATGTCCCACGTCGTCATATACCCTAAATGCGACCTTGCATCTACCTCCGCTTGATGAAATTGCTCGGGCGGCCATTGCTGCAGCAGTAAGACTCAAGGAAACCAGCTCTTGGATATTTTAAAAGTGGCGAATCAGCAAGGAAAGTTTCGACCACATCCTTCCAAGAACGACCACTGTTGGTATATCAATGGCCAAATTTTACATCGAGGATGCTTGGCTCTCCTATAATAGAAAACGCACATCTGTGCTCTTCAGCTTCCTTATATGGACTTTTGTTGGCCTACATGACATAAGACCAGAGGTTTACGCATCAGACCAATGTTGTAGTTGCAAGATCATAGAAGAAGATTACGCACGCTTAGAAAATATCTCACAAGTGGAGGTAAAGCTCATGACATTGAAAGGAATTTTTTCTTGCAAATAGCATCAGAGCGCTATTTTTTTGGCAGAAATATGTGTGAGAATTTTTACTTTACCCATATTTGGTTTTCAACGCTATTCTTGCATTGGCCAACGCAAAAAATCTTATCAGGGGCCGCGAAACCATAGGGAATGGGCTAGTATTCTGTTATGTAGTGTTCGACACGAGTGGTTGCTTTGTACTGAATCTTCTTTTATTTCTTTTGTCATTTGCTTCTTACTTACTAACATGCATACATAGGGTTGCCAACTACTTACACAACATCTCCCTTTTTTATCGACACAGTATAATTAGAAACATATTTGACTAAATATACACGTACATTTGCAATTAAAGTAATACAATATAATTCGAAACATGTTTGACTAAATATAAACTAAAGTAATGTGCTTACATGTAAAAGTGACAACTAGCTAAAGATCTAACTTTTGCGGTGGAGCTATTCTACGGCCGCTTCTGGTTGTGATGACATTTTCTTTAACTGTTTGGTTTTTTGCCCTTGGAGTACTAGTGTTCTCGAGTTCCGGTTGTGATAGATCGATATCACTTCCCTTTCTCGAACCCGACTCCGTCTTTTCGTTTATATCTGGCTCATTGTTTGCCATATTATTACTGCTATTATTTGGCTCAGAGCTATTTAACGTAGATGGTTTGTGTTCTGGAATTTTCATGATATCTACTCTATTTCTCCTGTACAGATTCTTGTTTTCATCTAAAATTATAAAAGACCTAGGCTCCTGACATTTTTGTACTATTTGACCAGGTACCCATAGGGACTTAGGATTTTTCTTATAATATATTCGATCTCCTTTCTGAACTGGTTTCAACTCTTTAGCATTTCTGTTATACCTGCGTTTCACTTCTTCAAGTCTTTGTTTGCACCGATTTTTGAGCGATTTCTGGTCTACTATTTTGGTTTTCATTTCTGTTCTCAATAGCGGTAACTTTGTTCTAAGCATTCGCGACATTAACAGTTCAGCTGGACTGGGCATATTATTTTTAGGCGTGGTCCGATAGTGCAGCAAAGCCATATACGGATCTGATCCCGTATCTTGACTCTTACATAGTAGTTTTTTAATTGTTTGTATAGACCTTTCAGCGAGACCATTCGAGCGAGAATGATATGGACTAGAGGTGTGATGATCAATTTTCCACTCGTTACATAAGTTCCTGAACTCCTGGGAGCTAAATGGAGGTCCGTTATCTGTTATCAGGATCACTGGAATACCCTGCCTCGAAAAAATTGACTTAAACTTTATAACAACCTGTTGGCACGAGTAACCGCCACTTACATTTTCGATTTCGATATATTTGGAGAAGTAATCAACTACTAAAAGATACATTTTGTTGTTAAATTCGAATAAATCCGCCCCTAACTTATACCAGGGAACATCAACCACTTCGTGACTTAACAGCGATTCCTTACAATTCGAATTTCTGTACCTTAAGCAAGACTCACACCCTGTCACTAGGTTAAAAATGTCGTTATTTATGTTCGGCCAATAAACAGATCTTCGAGCTAACTCTTGACATCGCTGGATGCCCATATGTCCTTCATGAATATGGGCTAGCATTTTTGTTCTCAAAGATTTCGGTACCATTACCCGGTTATTTTTTAATAATATCCCTTTAATTTCGTTTATGTCGTCCCTGACTGCATAATATGGGCTTACATCTGGGTCTACTTCTTTCTTTGACGTTGGCCAACCTGTCTTTAAATATCTAAAGATTTTCTGGGAGACCTGGTCCTCACCCGTTGCTTTTTTAATATCCTCTATCTCTCTTTCTGGTAAAGCTACGTGTGCAATTACTGCGTTGCAATGTAAATCGAGTTCTTTGTCGACATTGAAGTCCGTTGTTTCTTTAATCGGGGCTCTGGATAGGGTGTCAGCTATATACATTTGTGTACCAGGCTTATATTTAACAGTCAGGTTGTACATTAGCAGGCGTAGTCTAAATCTTTGAAGACGTGCCGGTATTTTATATAAAGGCTTATCGAAAAGAGGTACCAGTGGTTTGTGGTCTGTTTCTACCGTGATGTGTTTTCCGTATAGGTACTGGTGAAATTTTGTACAACCAAATAAAATTGCGAACATCTCTTTCTCAATTTGGGCGTAATTAACCTGACTATTAGACAGAGAGGCTGACGCATAAGCAAGAGGATTATTGCCATGCATAATTACTGCTCCTACTGCAAACTGGGATGCGTCAACAGACAACGTCAATGGTTTATTTGGATCGAAGTACGCTAAAACAGGCGTTTTTGTAAGTTCTTGTTTCAAGTATTCAACTTCTCTATCATGAACGTCGTGCCAGTGCCATAATGAATCACTTTTGAGTAAATTGCGTAAGTTTTGGTTTTTGGCTGATAAGTTTTTGATGAAAGAACCCAGGTAGTTGACCATGCCTAAGAATCGTTGCAGGTCTTTTACATTAGTGGGTTTTGGCATATTAACAATTGATTTTACTCTCTCCGGATCGACCTGTACGCCCTCTTTACTGAAAATGTGCCCTATAAATTTGAGTTTTTCCTTAAAAATATTTGATTTATTCCTATTAAACCGTAACCCTACTTCATTTGCTCTTTTCAACACCTTTTCAAGTATTTTACTATGTTCTTCCACATCTTTTGCATGTATCAAAAAATCGTCCATATATATAATCAAACCTTGAATGTCCCCAAATAGCCTCACCATTTCTGCATGAAATATTTCAGGTGCAGCATTTATGCCAAAAGGCAGACGTAAAAACTTGTAACGACCGAACGGAGTTATAAACGTACATAACTTCGAAGACTCCTCATTTAATGGGATCATCCAAAAGCCCGAACTGGCATCTAATGTGCTAAATATTCGAGACCCAAACATTTTAGACTTGCATTCCTCCACCGTAGGCAACGAAAAACGCGGTATTACTATTGCTTTATTTAAATTTTTAGGATCTAGACATATACGTAAATTGCCATTTGGTTTGGTCACAATCACAATAGAGCTAACCCATTCTGTTGTGCCTTCTACCGGCTCTATAACGTTAATGTCCATCATTCGTTTCAGTTCTCGTTTTAAAGGTTCATACAAACTAAATGGAATTCTACGCGATGCGTCAACGGTTGGGATACTACCTTCTTTCAGTTGTAAACCACACTTTCTTTTTAATACACCCAATCCACTAAACATTTCAGCGTACTTTTCCAACAAATCTTCACTCTTTATTTCATTAACCATCTTTATAAGCTCTAAGTCTTTTGCTGTAGGTAAACCTATGACATTTTTGCAACTCATTTTTAGTATGTAAAATATCGCCTCAAAAGTCTTGTTTGCATACTTAAATTTAAGGTTGGTTGTACCAACTACTTCCAGTTTTTCACCACTGAAAGTTCTAATTGAACTCTTTACATTGTAATTTATTTGCGCTTTTAACAAATCTGCTGTTGCTTTCGAGATCAAATTCACTTGTGCCCCTGTATCGACCTGACATCTTAACTCTACTTTACTTATGTATATATTTATGTACCATACATCTTTACTTTTGTACGTATCCGCCTGCCGCTCGCTGATTTCGCCAACAAATAACGAGCTTTCTTCTTCGCCTTCATCCGCCTCATACATACACATCTGCTTCCCTGAATTGTCCTCGGCTCTGCCTGCTACTTTTTCGACCGCTCTCACATATACACGGGAATTTCCACCGCCGTTAGGTTTTTTTCGCATATAACACATTTTAGCATAGTGGTTGAGTTTACCGCAATTATGGCACTTTACCCCTTCTGCTGGGCATTTGTATTTATGCCACGTTCCACATTTGGTACAAGTAACGGCCTGCACTTTTGTTTGTTGTTGTTGCGTAACTGCGTGGTCACCGCTTTTGTTCCTGATAACTGCTATAAACTTTTCATTATCTGCACCCAATTCGGCTGAGTTTTCTTTGGCTAAGACCATGTTTTTTGCGATTGCCACTGCTTTATCTAATTTTAAGTCCACTTCGCTGAGCAAGCGTTCTTTGACACTTTTAAACCTTGGCGAAAGCCCGCACACAAAAATGTCTCTTATTAAATCTTCCCGTAAAGTTTTGAATTCGCATGATAGGCTAAGGTTCTTTAAAACAGTTACGAATTCTTCAATTGTCTCTTCTTCAGCTTGCTTCCTGGAGAAGAACCGATATCTCTCCACAACCACATTCACTTTAGGCACGAAGTAGTCGTTAAAACTTTTTAGGAGTTCATCGTAGCCAACCGTATCAATATCATAGTTGAACGAGTTGAACACCAAGAGCGAATCCGGTCCTATGTGGTGCAGCAATAGTGCCACCTTTTGCTGGTCGGTCTGTGGCTCCAGCCCCGCTGCACGCATGTATATTTTGAAGGAATTTTTCCAATTATTCCATGCGAGTGACAAATTGGTTGCCTTTAGGTCCAATGGGGTAACTGTTGTAGCCATGCTGACCACTTTACTGCATTCTGCTGTTGGTTGCGCCTTCTCTGTAGGCATGATGAAAATATATACATATTTATTTCTTTATTTTTTGACCGCGATCTGACACCATGTTATGTAGTGTTCGACACGAGTGGTTGCTTTGTACTGAATCTTCTTTTATTTCTTTTGTCATTTGCTTCTTACTTACTAACATGCATACATAGGGTTGCCAACTACTTACACAACATATTCTTGATAAAATAGTAAACAAAATTCAGCTAACTTACAATCCTTGACAATAGAAATAAAAGTAAAAGGTGGCTCAATGTGTTAAAAATGTGTTTTTATTCATTATTTAAAATAACGAATAAATTATTCGCAAGCAATTTATTCACGAATAATTTATTCGTGAATAAGTTATCTGCGAATAATTATATTACGGATAAAATTTTATTCGATTATTATCTAAATAACAATTTATTCGAATAATGCCCAACTCTGATTGTGGCACATGGTTGGATTTTTTGTCGACGATAATTTGAATAAACAAGTTCGTTCAATTTAAAAATTTACAAACTGGAGCGATTTTAAAATGAAAAATGTAATTTAATACTTGTTTACTTAATTAATTTAGTTAATTCCAATGATTTGAAAGGTACTAGAAAAAAAAA